TATAAAATAAATAAATATATTAATTAAATAAATAAAATTTAATAAAAAAATATATACTGTATATAATTATTCTTTACCATTTTTGCAATATTTCATTAAAAATGGTTTAAAATAATCTGCCTTTTCAATAGGTATATCAGCTTGAACTATTATATGAAGAAAATCTTTAATAAATATTTCTTTAATATCATTACTTTGTTGAAAAGACTTAATTCCAACTTGAAGCAAAGTTGATTATACAGGTTTGTTAGAGTTAGATGTATGCCCATCTGATTTTAAATGATTATCAATCGTGGACTTTTTTTCATAGTTTACTACAATTTGACACACTTTACAAAAAAGTTTTCCACTACTAGCATAAAAATCCGATTTATATGTAGGGTTTTTGGCAAGACGTTCTGTAGCAGTTACCATAATTATTACGAAATTTAACAAAAAAAATTTTTCAAAGTAATTTTTTTGTGTGAAAAAAATTTGCCGATTTTGATTTTTTACAATCTATAAAAATTGACCAATTAGCAGGCGCCAATTATGATTATGTGATTTCTGGTCAAATTATGCTTGGCATCTATTATGCTAAAAATTGGCCTATTATGCGCATTGCATCGTATCACATAAAACTGAGGTCTCTAATTTAAAGATTCTGCTATATAGGTTACCTACTGATTACTATATCTAGTATCTGCCTGTAGATACTCTATTTAAACTCTCTAATATCACTGTGAAACTCTATGTTTAACCAAATATTTATGATCTATACTAATTTTGTGCTATCACATTTGAGAACTACTCAGGCCAACTTGTGTCTCAAATTGTTTTCATAGAACTAAGTCTTATTACAAAATACTCTAATAGTTCTATTCTGATAAGAGTTTACAGATGACCTCAACTATACTATACTATATTCTAATTAAACTAGTATATACTTTTATTTTTTTTTTTTTGACAGTCTTATCATAAAACTTTATTAGGTTGTTAACATGTAGTGTCCTACTCATTATATATTGAAGTTTGAGAAAAAATTCTACCTAATTTCCTAAACTTGATATTACCTGATTACTTCTAAGAGTACTTAAGTATGACCTGTCATACTAGTCAAAAAGACCAGAACTATGATATCAGACTACCAAAAACAGGTTCCTTCTAATCTAACTAAAGCTAAATTAAAAGATATTAATACTGAGTAGCAAAAAAAAATAAAAATTGTTACTAATCTAAAAGCATTAAGCTTACTAATAAAAAAAAACTTGTCTTAAGTCATAAAAAC